CCTCGAGGCCGTGAATTCATGGTTAGCGCCACACTGGGGTACATGCCTGCTCCAAACCCTGCCCACTGCAAGCGTGCAGTGCCTGTGGGTATATGGCCAGGGCCTGGACGTGCGTCTGCTTTTCGAGCTGAGGTAGGTGTGTGGTGTGTGTGTGTGTGTGGTGTGTGTGTGTGTGTGTGTGGTGTCTAGACCTCAGCTGCTGGTTGTGTGCACTGGGTTTGCCTGCATATGCTAGCCTGTTGCTAGGTGTGCGGCGTGGCGAGCGCACTCCCCGTGACAGGGGAGCCCGGCTCGACAGGTGGGTGAGGGTCCCCCGCCTTTGGCTCCGGGGACGGTCTCCTCCGCCGCGAGGGGTGGGGGGCAGGGGCTCCCGGCTGGCGGCCGCGTGCGCGCACGCCGGGCCCAGGACGCGCCGGGTACGCGTCCGTGCGCGCGCCCCGCGGCTCCAGCCCCGCGCTCGGAGCCGCCTTCGCGGCCACAGTCGGCTTCCCGGGGCTGCCGTCGCCTCCCCGCGGCCGGGGGCTCTGTCCGCGGGGCCCGCGCCGCTCTCCCGGAGCCAGGAGGACGAGCTGAGGAGGATGTCTGGGCCCGTGAGTACCGCGGCCGCGGCGGCGAGCCGGGGGCATGCAGTGCGGACGGAAGACAGTCCCGGGCCAGCCCCCTTCCCGCGGGCGGATCCAAGCCCGGCCCGGGTCTCTGCCTCGGACCCCGGCCCCGGCCAGTCCCTCTCCCAGCCCCCACTGCAGGGAGGGAGGGGAGGAGAGGGAGGGCACCAGTGAGCGAGGGAGCCGGAGCGGGGCGCGAGCAGCCACTGGTTCGCTTGGAAACGGTTGTCACAGCAACGGGGTTTCGCTCCTCGGTAACGCGACTGTGGGGCGGCGACACCCTATCCCAGCCCTCCCCCACCCCATGCGGGGCCTCTGCCCCCAGTCCCAGTGGGAGAGGGGACTACCCCTCTTACGGTTGGGGCGGGGGACTTGGCCCCTTTGGCCCGTTTGGGTGTGCCTGTCTCCACAACCCGTCGAGGGTGGGGGTGGGGAGGTGAGCACACCTTGGAGCAAGATTCGGCTCCCACGTGGCTGCGGTCCTCGCAGCGGGGCTCCTGGGGTGGCAGAGGTAGAGGGGAGCCCTGGCAGGAAGAGGCATGGAAGCTGGATCCGGATCCCGCCACCCCCACCGCCACTACCACCACCTGCCTTTGAAATGGCCCAAACCCGAGCTGGGTACCCCATGTTCCTTACCAGGGGAGAGGAAAGAAGCTCGGATCTCTCATCCTCGTGGCCAGGGCACGTGCTGGGCCGGTGGTGGATCTGGACTACTCATTCCAAGCCAGGACTCTGCAGGGAGGGGTGGGAGCAGCGTGTGCAGGGCCAGAGGAAAGGACTTCGCTGACCCCAGCCCATTGTCTGGATCACAAGTGTCCCTTTCTTGTCTGAGCACAAAGCCCAAACTGTGCTGGGTGGCATGCAGGCTGGCCGCAGGCTGGCCAGGGCCATATGGAGATACCCTGGCCCAGGAAGCTCCTTTGGAAGGAGAATGGCAGCAGAGTCAGAGGAAGTGACCTCTGGCTCCCTTCCCAACCTCCCCTGGTGTCAGTGTACTGGGGAGAGAAATGCCCTCCAGCCGGCTCTCCTGGGTCTGACTCAGCAGATGCCATCCCCTACTGACCACAGGCCTCGACCACAACCGCCACCCCTGGCTTCCCCTTCGCATCCAGGGTGGTGTCCGGGGCACCAGGAGAGACCATCATCCTGGGCATCTGAGATGTTGGCACAGATGTCCGTGGATGAGTGGTGCCCTGAGTCAGGCCCAAGCCTCCTTCCCCAGACAGTAGGCCTTTGGAATTATTCACAGGCCCTGTGCATTCCCTTTCTGCTCAGGGTGAGGCTCTGCATCCATTATTCCTAAGCCTTACGGCAGTTGTGCAAGGTAAGTTTATTACCCACATTGTGGCACTGAAGGTGCCGGAGGCGCAGGGAGGTAGTGACTTGCCCAAGGTCACACAGCCAGTCAGAGTGGAGCGAGGATTCCAGGCTCTGTTGGCATCGCCCACTGCGTGCTGCACATCTCTTGTGAGCCAGGGAGGAAAGATCTGAGGAGCTTCCTAGAGGAAGATTCTTCACCTTCTTTCACATTCCTCCAGTGAGCAAATGCAGTCTTTCCTGCCGTGGTACACCTTTCCTTCTCCCAGAAATAGCCAGCGTTTGCTCCCTTAGATGCTCCAGAGGACTGTTCTGCTGCCAGGCTGGCTCCCACCCACCCTCCCTCCATTTTCTCTCTCTGGGGACGACCAAGCAGTGAGGTCTGCCTCAGCATCCTGGGAACTCCCGAGGTTCTAGTGCTTTGTTGTTGGCCTGATCACACAGCAGCTGTGGGAGAAGGAATTTAGCGAAGAACGGCCCTATCGAGTGCTGGCCCTTGTGGGTGCTCAGTCTAGCTCAGTGGTTGGAGACCCGAATGCCTCGAGGGCCCAGGATGAGGAGTGCCAGGGAGCTACTCACCACAGTCAATGTCACCAGGTGAGAATGTGGCCTAGTCTGACCAGATTGTCCAATTTTCAAGAGGAGGCAAAAATCCAGGCTTTCGTGTATAAACTCCTGGTATTTAAATGTTGGCAACTAAATATTTTTTTTAAATTGATCGTGGTCCAACAAAACACACCCATGAGCGTTGTTCAGCCTGTGAGTCACGAGCTGAAACCTCTGGCCCGCAGTAAAGTGATGGCACCTTTTGCCGGACCATGCCAGGCTTGTGTAGATAGCACCATGGTGTGGTTTTCACATATGAGCCTTTTGAGGCTGCAAGATTCTGGCATTTGGTTTGTCACATGCAGCTGTGTACTCTGATTTTTTTTTTTAAATATATTTTTATTGATTTTTTTACCGAGAGGAAGGGAGAGGGATAGAGAGTTAGAAACATTGATAAGAGAGAACATCGGTCAGCTGCCTCTTGTACACCCCACACTGGGGATGTGCCCGCAACCAAGCTACATGCCCTTGACCGGAATTAAAACCTGGGACCCCTCAGTTTGCAAGCCGACACTCTATCCACTGAGCCAAACCGGTCAGGGCTACTCTGGTCTTGAAGCATTTTCACCTCCCTCATCAGTTGTGTTGCCATGGTGCTGCCAGGCAGGCTTCATCATCCCTGTCTCACAGGTGAAGAGTCTTCAGCTCAGGCATGAGAACAGCTGGGATCAGGTCACACGGACCCGGCAGGGCAGGGAAGAAGCAGGATTTGAACTCAGGGCTCCCCTATCAATGCTCTGTGTGCTACACCAGGCCGCCCCTCAGAAGAGCGGATCCTCACCCCACCCCCCACCCACTACACCCCCAATTTGTAGTTAACTCCCTCGGAGGGACAGATCTGAGTACAATAGATACTGACCGAAGTAAGGTCTCTGTGGCCACAAGCCCCTGGGGCTCCTGTCTCTGCTGTCCTATTTGCAGTTCCCCGAGCCTGGGATCCATGGCCCAGGACCATGGTTGGGTCACAGAGATGCTACCTACAGGTACTGGTGCCAAGCTAGTACCTTGGCCTAGCTGGGAAGGAGGTTGTGGCCAGCTCCATGCCTGGCTGACTTTGGCAGCTGGGACACTTCCCATCATTTCTCTCTGGCCTAAGTTCATCTGTCTTGGTGTGGGAGGAGTGAAAAAATGTCACCAGCGCCTTCCTGAAATGCCCTTCTTGCCAGGACAGTGGACTTGGCAGTCACCTGGGCTTCACGGTGTGGGCCTAAGGCGGCCCCAGCTTCTTGTCTGTAGAACAGGGATGGCAGCAGCCACCTTCTGGGTGTCACTGAGATACCGAATGAATAGAAAGAGGCTAGCAGGGAGCCTGGCGTGTGCAAGGGCATGCAGGACAGGCTAGCAGCCACTTCCTTCTTTTTTTCTTTTTACTATAAAGCATTTTTAACTTTATTTTTTATTGAATTATTGGAGTTACATCAGTTAATAAAATTATATGTTTCCAGTGTACAATTCTATAATACATCATCTGTATATCATGTGCTCACCATCCAAAGTCTGGTCTCCTTCCATCACCTTTTATCCCCTGTTTATCCTCTCCTACTGGCCACTACCGCCTGCAGTCACCACCCTATCCTCACTCCTCAACACACTCTGCTCCCTCTCCCCTCTGTCCCCTGCTCTGAGTTCCTGTCCCTTCACTTGATTGGTACCTTTAGCCTCACATGCAAGAAACCTCATGACCAGAACCTCAATTGCCTGGTGTTTCTTCTACCCACACCAGAGGCCCTGGCAAATGCTAAGGACATAGATATGTGGTCCTCAACTTGCTCATAAAACAACCTGCAAGGACCAAGAGCTGGGTGATGGCCTCTCTCTGTGACATTTTGATGAATGACTGACATTCCCAGGAATGAATTAGATGCAGACCCAGCTCTTGAGGACTTCCTTGTCCCTACAGCTAAAAGACCAAATAGGTAACCAGACACCTCCAGTCACTCCTTCAGCAAGTGGTTTTTCAGCTACTGTGTACCAGGTGATTAAGACAGATACAGCCGCTGGTGTTGGACACAGGCCACTGTAGGACACTGAGATACATAGGGCTTCTCACTCAGCCTGGGGTGAGGTGGCTCAGGGCTGACTTGTCCAGGGAAGTGACAGGTGAGGCTGTGAAGCTGAGCAGTGAGTGCTGGGGCAGGAAGAGCGAGGATGTATTACAGGTCCCTTGGAGAGAGAAAGCAGAGCTGTAGGCAGCACAGAACGGAGCCCTGAGAGGTAAGGCTGAAGAGATTTTGGCAGGAGCTCATCTCAGAGGCCATGATCTAGGTTAGGGGTTCTCAAAGTGTGCCCCCTGGACCATCAACAACCAGCACTTGCTGGGAATTGGTTAGAAATGCAAATTACTAGGCCCGACCCCAGACCTGGGGCGAAGCCCAGTACTCTGTTTTCACAAGCCCTCCCCGTGGCTCTGAGGCTTACTCCAGTTTGAGAGGTTCCCATCTAAGTGTGTGAAAGAGCTGGACTGTCTCCTGAGACAGTGGGAGTTGTTGGAGGGTTCAGGCCAGAGAGGGCCCTGGGAAAAGGGACAATGTGGAGAGGGGGTAGGCTGGGCAGGAACATGGCACAGACGTAAGGACAGTGGTGGCAACCATGGTAATAGGGGCCTACGTGAGAGTTGCTGGTAGCCTGGCCAAGGCAGTGGCAGGGGAACCAAAGGAAGTGGAATGTGAAGACACACTAACTACACTGAGGGTAAGAACAACGGGATTGAGTGGATAGAGTAACCGGTGGGCCCTTTGCTGAGGGAAAGGGCCCAGTAGCAGATCTTTGGGGTCTGAAGTTGGGTGCTGGGCTTCTTCAACCTACAGGGCTGCAGTTGGTCCAGAATGAGACAGCTAGGTGAGCTTGGGTGTCATTTAATCTCTTTGAGCCACGTGTTCTCGTCTGTCAAACGGGGAAAGTGCTAGCGGTTCTCAGGGTGACTGCGAGAACGACCTGTGATATCCAGCTCTTGTCAGGAACACCCTGGGGACACTCACATCTCCTCATCCCCAGCTCAGAGCCTTGAGAAGCACTAACATTTGTTGAACATCTCCAAGCCCTTTGCACAGATTAGCTCCATCTTCACCAGGACCATTGAGGAGGACCCCGAGGCAACATGGAGTTTAAGAAACTCACTGCCCTGGGTCTTTTACCTCCTGCTATGCTGCCAGTGAGCATGTGGCCTCAGAAAACTGTACAATCCAATGTGCTCACAAACTTTACAAATAAATCAAGATAGAATCCTAAAAAAAAAAAAAAAATGTTCAAATAACCCACAAAAAAGGTAAGAAAAGAGAAAGAGGAAACAAATCATAAAATGACAAACTTGAGGATGAGTCCATCTGAACTAGCACAGCCAGAGTCAGACACAGAGCAGGGATTTGGTATGAACAGTCTGGAGAGGCTGGGGAAGGGCTGTGTACAAGAGGCTACAGCAGGGTCTGCTGGAAGCATGACGGAGGCCCAAGGAGCAAAGGGACAGCTTGGGGAGCCTTGGAGCAGCTTGGCCTGGTCAGGAAGTGAATTTGGAAAGGCCTGCAAGAATGTCCTGATGATGATGTATTGAGCACCTACTATGGGGGAGATGAGATGGACTGAGAAGATAAGGGGCAGGAGGCAGGCCTCAGGCAGGGTTGGTGCCAGAGGGTCAGCTCAGCTGTAAGACTTCCTCTCATGGACACACAGTGGCCTAAAATGCAGCCATGGTTCCTGCCTCCTGGCTGAGGGGCCACAATGGCACTCAGCTGGTCTTGGGTGTGGCCTGCCCCAGTCTGTTCTAGTACCCAGCTGGCTGCACTGGGCTCCTGAGAGCAGGGTCTCTGTTCTTTTTTCCTGGTTAACCCTGGAGCTGCCATCAATTTCTCCACCACCATGTAGCCTTTTCCCACTCTCGAGCTGAGGGCTGAGGGCCCAAAGGGCCAGGGCCTTGATGGGAAAGAACAAGAAGGCACATTTTGGCTACACGCTGCCCAGTGTCCCTCTGGCTGCCAAGTCCTCATGTACAGGTGCACACGCACCAGGCTTTTCATGTACAATTCAGTTGTCATGTAGGCGAAGGTGTTTTGACAACAGACTTTGAATTCAGACTCTGGCTAAATATTAGCTTTCCCCTTATTAGCTTTGTGACTCGAGACAAGTTCATTTCCTTGTCTGAACTGGTCTCACCTATCAAATGGACCCCCCACCCCGATGAAAAAGTGCTGGTGAAGATCACACAAGATTCTGCATGAAAAGAGCCTACAAGGCCTGTCACACAGTATATAGGCCTTGGTAACTATTTCTAAATTCGGCTAAGCATCACCTGCAGCTGCAGAAGTGCCTTTTCTGACCCAGAGCTGTTCTTGCTCTGCAGGCTAAGAGGCCCCCTAGTTAGTACTGACTTCCTCGGAGCATTCCTGAAAATTCCTGTGGGCTCAGGAAAAGGAGAACAACGGATTAATTTAACTCCCAGTGACTGGCAGCATCGTGTTTTTATCAGGGCTTCGTCGCCATGGCAGCCTCATGGCAGGGTTGTGGAGGGGGTGGGTGGAACTATTGTTCCTGCCATTGTCTGTTCTGGAATGCAGGCCCAGGATAACGGGACTGGCACAGGCACCAAGCGGCACATGGCACAGGCAGCTGTTTAGTCTGACAGGAGCCCTCTTGGGGTGGCCTGTGCCCTGGCTTCCCCCCAGCTCACTGCCAGACCAGTCTGAGATGGCTTGATGTGGAGCCCTCAGGTTGGGGCTCAGGCCCTCCCTGGCCCCCAAAGCTGAATGTGTTCATTGGCCATGTCGAGGGTAGGAGTGTCCACGGGAAGAGGTCTCACAACGTGGCTCAGGCAGCACTCTTTCACCCAGGCTAGGATGTTGTAGTCAGGGTTGGAGTTAAATTACAGCGCGGCCACCTGCTATCTGCACAGCGATTTGCTTTCCCCTTCCTTATCTTTAAAATAGGAGTAATTACAGTTACCCCAAAGGGTGGTACTTGAAAGCCCCTGGGTAAAAGGCATTCAGGAAGGGCTCATTTCTGTTCTGCGGGGGTGATGAACAGTCGCCTGCCATCTGTCACTCCACCGACAGGGTCCCCTCCTACATACCTCTTAGGAGGCAAGGGTCCCCTCTCCACCCTGGCTGTGGAGAGGAGTTGGGAGGAGAGGGGCCCATCTGGAGTGATGCGGGACCTGGTGATACTAAAGACTTTCCTCCCCTTTGCGGAAAGGGAAAGGAATTGAGGGGAAGCGATCCAATGGCCTGGAGCCAGAAGGACAGGGCCAAGTGGGACTAAGCAGGAGTGGGAGGAGGTGAAGAAACTGGGATCTGGCGGGTGGAGGCACATAGAGGGAAGGAAGAGGGAAGAGCTCCCGGTGGGAGGGTATTTGGCAGGACAAAGGCAGATGCAGCGGGAACTACCCGCCTCCGAGCTCCCGCTGCAAGAACGGGCGACAACCCGGGAGGTCGCGGTGCGGGCTGGGATGCAGCCTGGGGTGGGAGCGGGTACAAGACCTAGAGCTCCTGGGGCTGCTAGACACATGCATAGGGCTGCAGATAGGCGCCTGTGGTTGGTTGTGTGGCTCTAGAAGGTGGGCCACCCTTTCCCCGCCGCCAAGCAACCAAGCGGTGCCCAGGGGATACCAGTGGCGAATCTCCCTTTGCGCAAAGGTCGAGTCTGGCCTTCGCGCGCCCCCTGCTGGCCTCCCTGGAGTTCCCTCAGCTCAGCCGCAGCGGCCGAGTCCCAGACCCGGGAAAACCCTACCAGGGGAAACCTCGGGGTGTGACGTCACCCTCCTCGGTGACGTCACCTCCCCCGGGGAGTTTGGGGGTTCCGACAAAGGAGGCATCCCCGGGACTGCACAGGGCACCGGCAGGGAGGTCGTCGGGGGCTGCAGCGCGCCTTCACCGCGCCTTATGTCTGTCCCATAGGTCCCGCGCGGCCCCGGGTGAGGCCTGCCCGCTCGCCCGCCGGCACCATGGGAAGGAGCGGGCACCGATGCTGCTGCCCCCCGCCGGCGCGCGCAGGACTTGAGCCTCGCCGCGGGCAGCCCCCGGCCGCAGGTCCCCGAGTGACGCTGGCGGCTCCCGGGAGCGTGGCGCGGGCCCGGGGCCACGTAGAGGAGCCCAGTGTCCAGTGAAGCTGCCGAGGACCCGCCGCCCGCGCCGCCGCCGCCGCCATGGTTATGTCCCAGGGCACCTACACGTTCCTCACGTGCTTCGCCGGTTTCTGGCTTATCTGGGGGCTCATCGTCCTCCTGTGCTGCTTCTGCAGCTTCCTGCGCCGCCGCCTCAAACGGCGCCAGGAGGAGCGACTGCGTGAGCAGAACCTGCGCGTCCTCGAGTTGGAGCCGCTCGAGCTCGAGGGCAGCCTGGCCGGGAGCCCCCCGGGCCTCGCGCCCCCGCCGCCACCGCACCGCGGCCGCCTGGAGGCGCCGGCGCACGCGCACCCGCACGTGCACGTGCACCCGCTGCTGCACCACGGGCCCGCGCCGCCGCACGTGCACCCGCACGCACACCACCACGCACTGCCGCACCCGCCGCCGCCGCACCTCTCCGTGCCGCCCCGGCCCTGGAGCTACCCGCGCCAAGGTAAGTGCCGGCCCGCGCCGGCGGCGAGCGGGGTGGGCGGGGCCCCGGACGCGGGCTGCCTCGGGTCTTCCATGGACCGGTGGCCCCAGCCTCGGAGGGCGCGGGCTGGGCCCGGCGTTGGCTAAGGTGTCTGCGGGAGGAGGCTGGCGACTTGGCTAAGGTTTCCGCGGGAGGAGGCTGGCGACGGGCGCCCTCACCCCTTCGGATCACTTCCCACTCCACAGCGGAATCGGACATGTCCAAGCCTCCGTGCTACGAAGAGGCGGTGCTGATGGCCGAGCCGCCGCCGCCCTACAGTGAGGTGCTCACCGACACCCGCGGCCTCTACCGCAAGATCGTCACGCCCTTTCTGAGCCGCCGCGACAGCGCCGAGAAGCAGGAGCAGCCGCCGCCCAGCTACAAGCCGCTGTTCCTGGACCGAGGCTACACGTCGGCGCTGCACCTGCCCAGCGCCCCGCGGCCCGCCGCGCCCTGCCCCGCGCTCTGCCTGCAGGCGGACCGAGGCCGCCGCGTCTTCCCCAGCTGGACCGACTCGGAGCTCAGCAGCCGCGAGCCGCTGGAGCCCGGAGCTTGGCGCCTGCCGGTCTCCATCCCCTTGTTCGGGAGGACTACAGCCGTATAGTGGGGTGCCCGGCGACCCGAGCCCCAAGAGTAGACTCCTGGCCTGACTGCTGCGAGGCTTTTTAAATACTTCCCTTGGACTGCGGGTGGTGGGAGGGATTTCTTACCCCATTTGTTACATTTTGAGGATAATAAAGGTGTGTGATCTGGTTTGGTACAAGCGGAGGGGACACCCACTGCTTGCGTGCAAAGCTCTGGTGGCCAGGTGTGCCTGGGCCTCGGCAGGAGGAAAGCTGAGTGCGCTTTTCAGCTAAGTGGCCCGAGGATGCAGAACTAAACCTGAGGTCAGCCTGCTTCCCCCAAGAGCCTCAGACTCCATCTTCCCTGCCCATGAAACCACGGTTAGGTGCCCCTGTGGCCTTAGAGGTGGGGAAAGTTGGGGAAAAGGGGTCAAGGGCAGGCGGCCCAGCAGCAGGCCCAGAGGGATCTGGATTTCTTTATTAACAGACATGAGCACGACCCGTTACAGAAGTTTGTGCTTTCCAAAAAACAGTTACTGAATGTGAAAAAGGGACCCAAGCAAAGAAGGGAGTTGGGGAGGGGCCACCCACGCCCTGGGCCCCACCCATAGCCCTGACCTGAATGGGCCTAAGGCCTCCAGCCTGGGACCCGCCCAGCAGGAGGGGGCAGGAAAGGGCTGGGAAGCTGAGCTGCCCCAGCTGGGCCTGCTACTTCCTTAGGGCCCAGGTGGGCAGAGGTCAAGAGACGGGCAGGGAGGGGGTCCCAGGGAGCCAGAGCCCGAGAGCCATTTATTGCCATGTTTTCAAATTTCGTGCAAAATATCTGAAGCCCTGGACAAAGAATACAAAGTGATTTTTTTCCAAGAAACATAAAACTAGGAAAAGTGGAGGGCCTTTTCCCACCAGAGCTCCCCCTCACCGGGCCCCACACAGGGTGAGGCCTCCACCCTGGCCATCTGAGTGAGCACAGGGAGGGCTAAGCGCTACAATCCGGACCGGGTGGGGGAGGGATGGAATTTGCAACAACATCTCAACTACCAACGGGAGGAAAACCAGTCAACTGTACAAGTCTCCTATCAACTCTTTTTTTAAAAAAAGGAAAGAAAAGCTGTAAAAGTCAGGCCCTGTGGGCAGGGAGGCGGCCAAGTCCCCGGTCAGGGCCAGAATCTGGAGTGGGTGCCAGGCGGAGCGTCTTGGAGTTCAGGCGCGGCGGGCCATCCGGGCAGAGGCCAGCGCAGGTGGATGCTCGTGGCAAGGACAGCCTGAGGGTGGGCGCCACTGCTAATCGCCGCCCTCGAAGCCCTCCTCCGCTTCCGGGACTGGGTCTGCATCCCAGCAGGTGATGTCAATTTCTGTGGCGATGGAAAAAGAGGGCAGGTAAGGAAATGGCCAGCGGATGTATCCCCCTGGGAACTGTGCCTGCCCACACGTAAACCCACCCTAATTCTGACCCATCACCCACACCCACACTGCACTACCTGGAGGCTTATTGTAGAACACAGGAGGCGGAGCCTTTGCACACAGATCTTCTGATTGGGCGAACTCCTCCTCCTGTGATTGGCTGAAGTACCCCTCACTGGCCTGCAGAGGAAAGCAGCAGGTTATTATATGTGGCCTCACCCTGCAAGGCTAGGGCTCACCTGCCAGGCCAGAGGCAGTTTCTCCAGCAACCAGTGATTCCACCGCGGTGGCCAAGAAAACAGACACCTGACTCAGTAACAAAAGCAGAGCTGGCCCAGGGAAGGGGAATGGAAAACAGCTTCCCCCTAATAAATGTGGGTCACAGAGAAAGGGGGTACTGTTGCAAGCCTAAAACACTCAGGGTCAGCCCCCTTCTCAAGCCCTGACTTCCAACCACCAGGATGCCCTGCCCTACCTGAGTCCCCTCCTTCTGGGTGGTCTCGCCATTGGTCAGCAGGTGGGGCTCCGGCTCGGGCTCCGGCTGCGGCTCCTGATCCAGCTCCTCTACAGCAGAGGGTGGAGTAGGGGCCTGGGGGGCAGCCAGGGGCTCCCCTTCTACTTCCTCTTCTGGGTCACAGAAGGTGGCTGGTGGCTCAGGCAGCTCATCAAAATTGAGGAGACTGGCACAGACTTCACCTGCTGGTGGCAGTGGCTCCTGAGCACCCTCATCCAGCAGGGACACCTCCGCCAGAGTGACCTCAGCACCTGAGGGTGCTGAGGGAGCCCCAGGCTCAGCCGGGGGTGCGGAGGCGCCATCCCCGTTGTCAGGCCATAGGTCAATGAGGCTGGCAGTGGCAGGGGCGACAGTGTTGGCAACAGCGGTGTCAGCAGCAGCAACGTCATCGGTTTCAATGGCAGCAGCTGCCAGGGTGTCGGCTGCGGTGTTGGCTACGGCAGGCTCTAGAGGGGCAGCCAGGACACCCTGCTCAGGGGCCCCCATGAACATAAAGTCCTCTATGGGGCTGCCTTGCCCCTGGGGAGGCTCCCGTGCCTGCGGGGCCTCCTCCACGGGGCCAGCCCAGGCCTCGGGGGCTGCGGCTCTGGCCTCCTTGCTGCTCCCTTCGCCCTCCAGGCCGGGGCCAGGCTCCTGGGTCTCTGTTACAGAACAAATGGAGGAGACAGATGTGACCAGCTCCACCGGCGAAGGCCACGGACAGGCACAATACCTACCCTGTCATGCACTGAAAATCTGACGCCCTCCTGGAAAGAAGGCCTCCATGAATAGCTCCATGCAGAGTACCCTCCAGCACCCACCGGGCCCTGCTGCCCCTTGGCCTAGTGTCTGCAAGGCCTGTGTCCTCCTCCATGGAGAGACACTGAGGCTAGGAGGGTAGATCTGACTGCCACACCAGGGCTGCTCCCTGCCACAGCCACCTCCAGGGCAGTGCAGTTTGGGTGGTGGGTGGCCCAGGTGCCTGGGGAGTTGTTACCGTGGCCGCCTGGGTTGTTCAGCATGGGGACTGGTGAGAGGCGTGGTACAGCGAGGGCCCCTCACTTACCTTGGGTTTGTGGAGGTGGTGGCGGTGGAGGAGGAGGCTGGGAGGACGTGACCTCATCCAGCGCCCGCTCGATCTGCTCAGAGACCGGGGTGGAGGCTGTGCTGGAGTCGGAGGGGCTCCGGGTGGGGATGGGGGTGGGTGCCATCCTCCGGTGACTGTCCAGGTGGCCGCCTGTGGAACAAACCCCCAAGGTTAGTGAGGGCCAAGAAGCCAGGTGGGACCAGGACTGTACACCTCAGGGCCTGGCCAGCATCTCTTCTCTGGAGTCTGGGTCGGGGCTGGGAGCTCCCCAGGCTCCCCAGGGTCCAGGCCACAACTCCAGACCCTGTAAGCCAGGCCCCTGGGGTCAGTGCCCCTTCAGGGTCAGGGAAAAGAGGCAGGCAGTACCTGCTCCGGGGCAAGCACCAGAGATCAGTGGTCAGGCTGGGGAGTAAGGGCAGGGGTGCTGCTGGGAAGAGGGGCCCCTCTTACCCCCCTGCCGAGGCCTGGGGCTGCTACCTACATGGGAGGGAGGAAGAGAGGTTTGGGGTGCGGTGACAGGTGATATAGGGAAAGGGAGTCCGTGGAGGGGAAGAGGAGGAAGAGGAGGAGGAGGAAGGCCCACTGTCCGATGCCTTTATGAAAGGGCAGTACGGACGACCTGCCGAGAGAGACAGACAGAGAGAGAGAGAGAGAGAGAGACAGAGGACAAGAGAGGGTCAGTCTCCCCCACCCCCGCCCCAAGGCCTCACCCACCCCCAGAGCTGGCCCAGGATTTCCAAGCTGCCTTTGGCCAGGGCACACAATCAGCCAAGCTGGGCTACAGCCTCCAGCACCAGCCACGAAAAGCAAGGAGCCAGCCTCTGCGAAACACACAGCCACGGACAGCCTGCCCCACCCCTGAAGCCCCTGCACAGGCCAAGCACACACAGGGGCAAACACTCCGCCCAGCAGACAGGGAGCAGCAGGGTGCTTCTGGGGAGGCAGAAGCTACAGTGAGAACCCTGACGGGGAAGCGGGGTGCAGGCTCCAGGGCTGCCTCACATGCACCACAGCCCTCAGGCAGGACCTGCTTCCACCCCAGCAGGGCCGCTGCCTACGCCCAGGGGCGTGCCTTAGCCCATGCCAGAGCTGCCTAGATGGGCCTCTTGCACTGCCCGCTGCTCAGCCAAAGCCCAACATTGACCATCTCCTCCCCAGCCTTCTCAGTGCTGCCACCTGGGAGGCAGTGGGCGGGAGCACGCTTGACGAGCCACCTTGCCTTCTCCCAGGGTCCTTGGGCAAGGCTTCTCTTCCAAAACATGGGGTCAAAGAGGCTCAGGGCAAAACCCGAGTGGGGGTCAGGAGGGGGCGGGACCTGGGACTACCTGGCCTATGATTGAAGGGCGAGGGCACATCGCAGCTGCCCACAGAGGCCGATGCGACTCGTTCCTGCTGCTTGAAGAACTCCCGTGGGTTGTCAGGCCGCTGGGCAATGATGGCCGCTGCCTCCTGGGGGCACAAGAGAAGGATCGGAGTCAGGCTGGCCAGGCTGAGGCAGTCCCTGTTGGACTCAGCTGCCCTGTCCCCCAACTCTCACCTCTACCTCCGATTCTGACTTCTTCATCTGGGTCTCTTCCTCTTCATCCCTCCGGTCACCCTAGGAAAGAAAGAGACAGTGTCCTGGGCACCCCCACCAGGAGCTCTTGCTTCTTTACAGCCCCATGTTTCCTCCCTAATCTGGCAGGAAGAGACTTGCAGGTGGCACCTCTGCTCCCTTTCCCACCATCACACAGCTCCTTCTCTCCATCCACAAGGCCCTCAGCCACCTCATCTCCAGCCTGGACAGGTGTCTGGGCACCCAGCTCAGCTCCTCCTGCTCCTTCTCCCCAGATCCCCAGTCTTCCAGGAGCACTCCCTGCTTTGCAGCCAACTTTTCATAAACCTCCTAACCCCAGGATCTAGCCAATAGCCCTGCCTGAATTTCAGCATCATGACTGAGCTTTCCTCATTAACCTCCCTCCACCCCGACTTGGCCCACATTCCCCTCCTGCTGCCTGACCTCACCCCTGTCACCTCCCCAACAACCCCACACACCCTGAGATATAGATCTAGTTATCAGCATGACATAATAGTTTTCATCCCTGGAACATGCACGCCATTTACCACTTGGTATGGGAGATGAACCTCTCTCTCCTCAAACGCCCAGCCCCCACCCCAGCTCCAACTCTTCCTGCTCCTGGCCTCGGCTGGGGCACCGCCTCCTGGGGAAGAGGTCCCTCGCCCATCCAGGTCCTTTCCTTCTCTGGGTCCCCAACGTGTTCTAAGCACACACCACAGGCTACACTGTGTCAGAAACCTCCTGTTTCTGGGGTCAAGTCCCCTCCCCTTGGTGGGTGACACAGGATGAGAACTCAGGTCTCTCTGTGTAGCCAGCATGAGGTTGAGTTGGCGTTTGCTCAGTTGAATTCACAACACCAAAGCCTCTTAACAGTGTCCCCTGCTGCTCCCATGGCAAAGGAGGCAGGAAGGACTGAGGGGGGACAAAAAGGTGCAGGTACGGCAGTAATGGGGCTCCTGTTTTTGAGCACACGCATAAGCTATCGGGTGCATTAGGAGAATGCCCTTCAAAGTGTCCCCCTTCAAGAGGGCTGTCACTGCAACAACTTCGTGTCTTCCAGAATGAAGTCTGGACTCTTCTGACCTTGCTCTATTTTTCCCAAATCCTCCTGCTGCCACTGGGCTCCAGTCAGTCTCCCGGCCTTCCCAGAATGGACATCCAACCAGCTTTTTCAGACTCTGTCCCTGCCTAGTATAATCTCCCTAGGTTCCTCTGCTTCATTTAGAAAAAAAAAAAAAAAAAAAAAGAGGGAAAAAATAAAAGACCAGACTTGGTTTACCACCTACCAACGATGTGGAAAAACACTGAAACAAGTTAGGGCTGTGGGTAGGAAGAAGATGCTGCTGTGCCTGAGCATCTTAAGCTCAGGCATAAAGGGAACTCAGAAAAGATTTATTAGGAGAGGAAGCATTTCATAGTTCTAAATTCCGAAGTTCCTCACATGGGATCTTCCTTAGAGGACCTGAACTCGTAAGGTCACTGTCACACGAGCCACAGGTGAAGGGTCAGATGGGACTATAAAGGTGCAAGTTCCTTAAGGTTTTGCCTGAAATGTTGATAATTAGTGCAAGATCAGCTCAGAGGGAAGCCTATACTATTCTCCCTACTTTGTGTGTGTGAAATTTCCTATAAAAAGCTTTTTCATAAAAGCCCTTGCTCTGAATGGACAAACTAATGTGGTATATAGATACAGTGGGATGGCATTAGCCTTAAAAAGGAAGGAGACATCCTGACACATGGATGAACCTTGAAATTATATTGAGTGAAGTCAGTCAGTCACCAAAGGAAAAATTCTGTATGATTCCACTCATGTGAGATACCTAGAAAAGTCAAATTCATGGAGACAAAGTAGACTGCTAGGGGCTAGGGGGAGGGGAGAATGGGGACTTGGTGTTTAATGACAAAAATTCTGGAGATAAACTGTAGTGATGCTTGTACAACGTAAATGTATTTAATGCCACTAAGCTGTACATTTGAAATCGGCTAAGATGTTACATGTCCTGTTATGTGTATTTTGACACAATTAAAAATAAAATATCTGGTTCATTTCATCTTGTTCATCTTCATCACCATATTCTTTAACACCTGGCACAGGCAGGTGGTGGCAAGGGCTTGTTGAATGAGGCTGGAGCTTACATCCAGAGGCTGGTGGGGTTGGTAGCATAGGATAGCCACTTAATGCCAATGCCTGCAGGTGGTCCTGCCCCCTCCCTCCTCATCTCCTGTGGATGTGGCCCTGAAGCTCCTTCGGGTCCCCAAGGCCCAATGGATCTGCCCATCATAGTCCCAATCCAGACAAGTACCACCCACCTCCCGCCCTGAACTATATCTCACCACTGAATGACCTGAATTCAAAGCATGAGGCTTTTCAAAGGGCCAATCCACAGGCCCCATGGGACACCCGAATGTTTGAAGGTTCAGACAGCCTCCCTGAAGGAGACACTACACACACAGGGTATTAGATGCTCAGAGCACCAGCCAGGTTCATTTGTGTGGCTCTTCAGCACTAGTGTTGTGGGGACCAGGTCTGCAGCCCCAAGTGCAGAAAGCATGTCTAATCCATCTGAGCCCCTCAAGCCTTGCTGGGAGGGGACAAGGGAGCCTGGTCAGTGAGGGTCTGGATCAAGATAGATTTTCCTCTTTCAGTCTAAAGGAGAAGCTTCTCCAAGTTTCACGTAGCCAGGGGCCAGATCCCACGTGATTGAGTGGCAGACCTGACACTTCATGGCACCCCAAGGAGCAGTACCCAGAAGCCACTGATCTCCCCAAGAGGCCCAGGAGCACAGGGACCACCCACATTTCCCTAACCAGGAGACTGGAAGCCCGGGTTAAGAACTTACGAAGATAGACTGCTCGTTTAACCGCCTCTTGGCCTCCTCAGCTTCTAGAGTCTGCTGTTTCCTCCTGAAAGGATAAGTGAGCGTAAGTGGGCCTGCACCTCACGGAGGCCCCCGGGGACCGGCCTGGGGCCTGCGGAGGGGCGGGGCCGGGCACACCTGTGCTCTTCGATCTGCTGTTCCCTCTCTCTGTAGCGCCGTTCCCGCTCCTCCTGCTCTTGCCGCTCCTGCTCCATCCGCTCTTGCTCAAACCTGAGTCTCTCATCCAGGGCCTTCTTCCGCTCCTCCTCCTTCCTCAGCTCTTCCTCCTTCTGCAACCACCCATGCAAGGCAGAGTATAGGCCCTGAGCCTGGGGACCCCTGAGCCTGGGGACCCGTCCCACCAGGCCATCCTAACCCAGGGCTGGTGAGGTATGGGTTCTGAGAAGACCTGAGTCCTCTGGGCATAAGCCTCACTCTTTCAGCTGGGGGGCGGGGACCCGGGATGGGACACACTCTTGAGGGAGGGACTTGAGGAGAGAATCCTAGAGCTACTCCATGGGGTCAGGTCAGCTCAGCCTGCAGGCTGGGGTCGGGGTCCACACCTTAGCCTGCTCCCAGAACTGCTCGCGGTTAATCCGCTTCATCTCCACAGCGGCGTCCGTCTTCTGGTAGGTGGTGCCCTGCAGGGTCAAACGGCCTGGTATGAGCCCCGAGAGCAGGCCGGGTGCTCCTGGAGGTCCTACCGGGAAAGGCTGAGGACGGAGAGGGCGGGGGTGGGAGAGCCCTGGGCAGGGCCAGCTGGCCTCGGGCACACTGACCACCGGCTCGGCATTCTCATCCTCGCGCAGCCGCAGCCGGTGCAGCACGGGGCTGGAGAGCCGGGCCAGGCCGTTGGAGAGCCGCTGCCCAATGGCGCCCGCATCTATGTCTTCCACGCTGCTGGCGTTCACAATCACATCGACGCCCTGCGGCAAGAAGGTGTGTTTAGGCAGCACGGCTCCCCCCCACCTCCGTCAGCACACAGACCCTGGGCGGCTGGTCCCACCCCCGCTCGCACCTGGAAGAATTCAGCCACCTTGGCCACGTGGCTGGCACAAGCACATTTTCGGGCATCAGGCACATCTTCACCAACCTGCAAAGCACCCAGCACAGAGGGGGTTGAGCGAGGACAGGAAAGGATAAGAAGGGCCTGGTACAGTGGGGGTTCTCTCCGGAGGTGTCCGAGGCGGAGGGTAACTGTTGTGGGTCTCAGCTCCCTGCCCAGCCCGCAGCTGCATACCCAGTTGATGAGCACGTATTTCGGCAGCGCAGCCTGGGAGTCCTTGACGCTGCAGAAGCCGTACATCACCTTCTGGTTTTCAAAGTGGCCTGAGAGTTCCTGCAAGCCCCCGTCTGGAGGAATTAGGAGGCATCAGGACTCCCTTCTCCTAACCCTTACCCACAGCGGGCCTGGAACCCAAAGGAAAGACTCCATTGTGGGCTCTGCAGGCACTGCCCCCCTCCCCCACTTCTCTCCACCCTCACCCTCCCCCCACCAACCTGGAGGCCCCAAGTTCTGTGCTGGTGCGAGAAAAAGTGGCAGGCAGGCACCAGCTTTGCCTTTGAATCCTCAGGGCCTGATTTGGGGTAGGACTGAGGGAATGCTTGTTCTTCACACATCCTCATGACACACTGGTGCCCGGGGAGGTACAAGAAAGCCTTTGGGCTCTAGAGAAAGTGAGGGAGAACTGGGCCATCCCCACAGGCCCCCGCCCCACAGCGGTGTGATGTGGGCTGTGTGACTCTCCTCGCTGAGGCTGCCTTCTCAACATCAAATAGGAATCAAGGCTCCCTCCCCCCCCCATCTCACCCCCCGGAGCTTAGGGATGATCAGGAAGGACACCTGCCAGACAAGTGAGGGTCTGCTGGACGCAGGCAAGGAGGTGCCCAGGAGCCAGGGGACCTACAGCCCAGCGGGTGGGGAAGAAAACAAGCAGAGGAGCGGGGAGGAAGGGCTGAGAGAAGACAAAGGAATGGCTGGAATTCTTACCTCCTGATGCTGCAAGCTTGAGGTCATCTGAGCCATCCTCATATGTGTACAGCGCCCTGGGGAGAGGGAGTGGTGATTCTTAGAACTGTCAAGGCCCAGGCTGCCAATTTTGGGTGGGGACAGCTCTAGGGAGGAGGAGGAGGGACACAGAGGGGGCAGGACAGGAAGGGGGCTCTGCCCCAGCCCTCACTGCCTGACAATAGGGCCAGGAACTATTTCTGGAGGGGGAAGCCCTGAGACCGGGTAGAGGGACGCCTGGGTTAGGTGGGGAATAAACAATGGGGTTCGGGTAGAAATCACTGTCCATGTCCTGGGAGCTCTGGTCCTGGCAGCCTACAACTCAGCAAGCGGGTGTGCTCGGAGATTCCAAGGCGATGGTTCCTTGGTTACTGTTCCCTGGCTACCACGCTCCTCATCGCCCATTGGCTGTTGCCAGGCGTGTCTCGGTACCCATCGCCCCTCCCCTCACAGCAGGGAAAGGGGAGGAGAAAGAACCTGGTGCTCACTCTGATCAGGGCATCCCCTGGTAACCATGGCAACCCAGCGACTGGCACATGACTGGCCCACTCCAACTGCAGACTCCTGAACACAAAGGACCCCAGGGACACACCCTCAGCCTTAATCTCTGTCTCGCTGAGATGTGGGTGAGGTAGCCCAGGTCGCTCTTGCCCAGACTGTGGACCCTGGTTGCTCTTACTCTCCTGGTCCTCCAGCTCCTCGGCCCCCTCTGCCCCCTCTGCGCGGCGGAGGCCCTGGCCTCCTGGGACCGCCAGCCTTTCTTTAGCCTTAGCTTCACCAGAAAGCTGACTTAGCAGCCTTCCTCGCTTTTTTCCTCCTTCCTAGCTTTTTCGCCCCAAGTGGCAGTGGCACAGCATCCATTTCACAGAAGGGGAGGCGGAGATGTCTGTTTCTGAGGATCCCTTTGGGAGAACAGGCCTGGGGCCAGGAAGGAAGGCCTTGTTCCAGGGGCTCCAGAGGGCTCAGTCCCCTCCCCATTTCCCTATTGCCAAGACTAGGAGGGGTGGTGGGAGCACAAGGGGTCCGGACAAGAGAAAGGGAGAGTCGGTGGGAAAAGCAGGGAGAGAGGAAGAAAGAGAAGACAAGAAGAAAGGGATAAAGAGGAAAGGAAGGAGAGAGGAAGGGAAGGGAAAGAAAAAGAGGGGAGAGAGGGAGGAAGCAGGAGAGCAAAAAGGAGGGCCTGGCCTAGCCCCACGAGGTCAGCACAAGTCACTGCTAAGGACACACACACACACACACACACACACACACCCCGGTTCCCAGGACCCTCCCTCCTGAAAGGGACACAGGTGGACTGTGAGGGGGGAAGCTCTTGGCCCAACTGTTGCCCGGGCCCCATTGCTGGCAGCTGCTTCCCCCGAACAGCTGTCCCACCACCTGTCCGGCTGCCCTCGCCCACCACTGGGAACAAAGGGCCCTCAGAGAAGCAGGATCTGTCCTTCCCAATCCCGAGATGAGAAACTGAGGCCGCACTCTGAGACCCTGGTTCCCAGACACTGCCTTAGGCTGCACATGTCCCAGGGGTGAATCTCGGCCTCTCGAAGGCTCTGGGGGCCCTCGCTCCTCCCAGGGACGCCTGCCCTGCCCTTTCCACCCTCAGTCCGTGCCGACCTACTTCCCGGCATCTTTCTGACTCCGGCCACAGCCCTGACCAGGCAGAAACCATAGCTAACTCCCAAGAGCCTTCGGTCCTGAGCTCTCCCCACCCGCCCTCCCCGCTGGGTTAACCTGGATGGCTCCCTGATGCCGAGCACAGCTTTGAATATGTCCCACTCTTGAGACTCTGTGTATGTGGTTCCCTTCGCAGAAGAGCGAGGTCTGTTTCTCCACCCCACGCCACGCTCGGCAGAAATCCCTCAGGGTCCTGATGCCAGACCTCCAGGAAGCTGTGTGCCTCCCCACACCACTGACGCCATCCCAGCAGGGAGGGGAAGAGGCACCGGCCCACCCCGGATCTCACCGACCCAGTGCTTCTCAAACACAGCAGAGGCAGCCTGGGCCTGGGCAGCACAAGGAACCAGGAGTGAGGGAACCGGGACTCCATGTCACCAGCTCCAGGCCCTGGTGACAGACACTGCCGTGAGCCTAAGCTTCGTGAAGGCGGACATCTGACTCAGTCAGCCAACACACTTCCCCCTCTGGGTTCAGGATCCAGCATACAGCAGCACCAGTAGGCATTTGTAATATCGACGCAAACTCTGAGAAACCATCTAGACCAGAGAAACTGGAAGAGGTAGGAGCTGGCATATGACAGCTCCAAGGGGTCAGCTGAGGCCCAAGGCGGAGGGCAGGGAGAGCCCTCCGGACAATCGCAGGCTCAGATGTGAGAGATGGAAGAGCCCTGGAGGTCCCAGGGATGGCGGAGCCAATCCCCTCTTCTTCGTTTCTTCTTATTATTATTTTTAAAGTGTTTATTGATGTGAGAGAGAGAGGAAGGGAGAGGGAGAGAAACATTGATGGGAGAGTGGAACATAGATGGCAGCCTCCCCCCTGCTGGGGATGGCGCCTGCCACGGGGCATGTGCCCCAATGGTGAATCGGTGACGGGAAGACACTCAACCAGCTCAGCCACACTAGCCAGGGGCCCCCTTCTTATTTTCAAGAGGACCAGAGAGGAAGGAGTTCTTGTGCGGTCACCCCGAGTCATGTCACATCCAGGGCAACCCTGGCTCTTCCTGAGGCCCCCCTCCCCGTGGCTGGGCAGTGGTCCATTTCAAAGGCGAGGGAGAAGGAGGACAAGCCCCCTTTACCCAGGCAGCAATCTCACCCAAGACACCTTCCTCCAGCCTCTGAGAACAGGGTCCGCTCCCGAGTCCTGAGACCCCACTGTAGCCCCAGCTCAGGGCCCCCACTGCAGAATGTCATCTTCACCCCTTTTTACAAAACGCCATCTCGGCCCTGGGGAGTGAGCAAATGTGTGCACAGGCAAGGGTACATGTGTGCATCTGTGTGTCCCACACAAAACCCAGATGGGAAGTGACGCATGCCAGTGATGAATAACTAGTTTTGGCCACATGGATCCTGCTCGGGGATGGGAGCCCAGGGCTCTGCTGAGCAGGAGGTGGGCCAGCAGTGGCCTCCGGAGTTCTGCTTTTGGGAAGTTAGGGGCAGTGATAGGGTGGTAGACGGTACCCCTAGACGGAGGGCGAGGGGGGCATTCTGAGATGGACCACGCCCCTTCCCAGGCAGGGCCCATCGTATCCCAAGGCCACCTCCTCCACCCGGCCACGCTGGCCCCTTGCCCTGAACTCTTCCCATGATCTCAGCCCCCAGGAGCAGGGCTGGGACAGCGGGCTGGCCTCTCCTATGACTGACCTGCAGAACATGGGAGCTTGTCTCCCGAGTCCATCTCGCCAGGCAGGCCTGGCCACCCGCCAGTGCTGCAGCATCATGGCAGGGACGCCTGGCCACCGGTCCCCTCCTCCAGCCCTCAGGTCACTATTCCTACCGGAATGCCCTCCCTACTTGGGGAAGGCCAGCCAGGGGAGGTCCCTCGGGCCTGCCCTCCCCCTGTGCCTTGGTATCCTGCCTGCCAGCGGGAGTAGAGGTCTGGGAATAGAATGAGTATTTTGGGGGTGAATGGTTCCTGAATGGGGCAGTGTGGAACCCCTTGGCTTGCTCACCACCCTGAGGAGCCCAGCCCCAGGCAGGTGGTCCACCCTCCCAGCTCACGGGGAGACAATAGCTGTGGAAGGGAAGGAGGGCACGCCAGCTCCTCCCCCACCAGGGAGCTGGGAGCCCCTTGCACTGGCGATGTGGCCGAGGGTTCAGCAGATCTGCTCAGCTCTTCACCCCTTCCTGGGGGCTCCCCCCAGGCCTGAGCGACCGGGGGCTTCCTCCCGGGGTCCCCAGGCGGCCCTCGGGGCGGGCAGTCCGGCCCCCTCGGCGTCTCCCAGTCCAGCCGCCCAGTCCCTGAAATCCCCGTCGCCCCTGCCTCCTCCCCCGCGGCCCCGGGGAAGAACAGGAGTCCCCGGGCTGTTGCCATGTGGCAATGAACCTCTTTCCATCACACCCCAACTCCTCCGGGAGGCCCCCCCGGTGGGCGGGGCGCCGGCCCCTGGCCCTCCCCGCTCCTCCCCCGCCCGGCGTTCCTTTGTGCCGCGGCCGTCCGGCCGGCCGAGCTCCGCTAGCTGGGTCCCCGCCCCGCCCCGCCCGGCCCGGCCCGGCCCGTGCCCGCTCCGAGGTAGCGAAGGTGCCCTTGGCCGGCCTGTGCACACCTGTCCCCGGGGCCCGGGCCGGGGGATGGGCTCCTGCAGGGCCCCGAGCCCGGGCCACACGACCGGACCCCGCGCGCCCCCGGCCGCGTCCGGCCCCCTCTCCCCATCGCTCCGGGCGGCAGCGCCCAGCGGGACCCCGGCCCCTCCCCCGGCGCACAAAGGCACCCCCTGCGGTCCCCCCTCCGGGCCGCCGCACCATCTCGGGGTCCCCCCACCCCCCGCAGCCGAGTGGCGGGCAGATGGAGACAAAGGCGCGGCGGCGGGGACAAAGGGCCGGCGGGGGCGGGGGGCTCACCAGTCGGCCGCGCTCTCCTCGCGGATCACCTCCTCGTACGCCGCCAGCAGCTCCAGGCGGTGGCCGCTGAAGCTGACGCCGGCCATGCTGCGGGGCGGACCGGGCCGAACGGCGGATGCACAGACGGACAGACGGAGGAGGAGGAGGGAGGGGAGGAGGGAGCCGCCGCCGCCTCGGAGCCTCTGCAGCGCTGCGAGCGGAGAGCCAGCGGCCGGGGGAAGGGAGCCGGCCGGCGGGGGGCGGGGGGCGCTGGCTCCGCCCGGCTCGTCCCTCCGCCTCGGTCCTAGCGCCGCCCCGGCCCGGCCCCGGGGGAGGCCCGCCCCCCCTTCCCGGCCTGCCCCGGGCGCCCCCGCGCCCCTCAGCCAGCGCCCTTTCTCCCACGCAGCTCGGTCCCCCGGTTCTCAAGGCCTGTCCCGCCGGCGTCCCAAACCCTCACCTACAGGGGCCCCAGCCTAGGTGCTCAGCCTCCTCCTCAACCCCAAACCCGGCCCCGGCCCCAACCTCACCGACTCAGTTTCATTCTTCTTATCAGCTCCCAGTCCAACCCCAAACCCTCTTCACTTCAATCCCGCCAGCCTCAGCCCTTGCTTAATTTATCTGTATCCGGGCTTCATCCCCATCCCTGGTCCATCCCTACCCCCCAGCCCCAAGCCACAAAGCACACGGCCCATCTGCCGCCCATCTGCACCTCTGAAAGGCCCATTCCTTGTCCATCAGGTCACTGCCCATTGCCATCTGCATCCCAACCCCCAATTCAGCCAATTCCTTTCCCATCCCAGCAGCTCCAGCCTCAGTCCCAACTCCATGCTTAACATGCCCCCCCTCCCCCAATTCATGAAACCCCATCCCTAGCGGCCCCCTCTTCAGTCCAGTCTGTCCTGTTCCCATTCTGATCCCAGTTCCCAAACACACCCCTCCATCCCTACCTCCTAGACCATTCCCAGCCCCAACTCACACCCTTAGCCCAGCATTGCCATCCTCTCCCACCGCCTCTGCCCCCACCCCTAGGCTGAGCCCCCTCCCTACCAGCTGCCTCCTGGGCCCTCTCAGAACCAGCCAAGGAGACCCTTTGCCTTGTCCCTAAGCTTCAAGCCTTCCGGAGCAGACTTCCTTCTGGAACTAGCATCTGAGTTCTGAGTTGGCCAAGACACATAAGAGAGTAAGTAGTTGTGTGTATTGATCTCCAGCAGCCGTTCCCAGTGCTTTAGAGGGCAGCCCTCTTAAAATCCAAAACATTTCCCCAGACCCCTGCCTGGGAAGCTCTGTGCCCGCTATGCCCATGAACCCCTGGCCCTGGCAGTTTCTCCACAGCCCACACTTGGCACGAGGTCAGAGGATTTGGGAGAGGGAGGAGACCCCACAGCAGGGCCAAAGCGACCTGGGACAAGTAGGTAGAGGGATGTTGGGCCTCAGCCCGAGGCACAGAGCTGCTGAGTGATAAAGTCTGCACGGGAACCCACGTCACTACAGCACACCACAGACCCTCCTCGCGGCTAGCCTGGCCTGGAATGCGGTCAGATGTGGTTCCCCAGGCTACAGCCAGCTGGAGGGGGTAGGGCAGGAGTCAGGGAGTAGGTGTCCTGGACAAGGAGGGTGTAGCCAGTGCAGCAGCATCCATGGTCAGGCATCCTTGTTACATAAAATCCCTTAAGGCCGAGAGCCGAAAGAAAAAGGCTGACAACTCTACGTTGTATCAAGAGTTTATTAAGGGAACTTACAGATGAGATGCATCTTGGGCGGCAAGATGAGGTGGCTACTGTGTGTGCCAAGTGGCAGACATTAAGGGGTTCTAGAGGAAAGGGCAGGATGGATGGGGATGTGCGGGGGTGACCCTCCCCAGATAAAAGGAAAATGCTTGCTTGTGGGCAATGGCCTGTCCCAGGAACCAGGACAAAGGGAAGCCTAGGGGAGGCACTGATCAGTCTCTGGGGGGACTTATGGGAAGTGGCCTCTGTTCTGGCCCTGATCTAGCTGGTACCAGCCTGAGGGCCCAGCAGCAGCCACCTCATTGAACAGTCGGGTCTCCACCACAATCCCTCCTGTCCTCTGGCTGATTTCTCACCATAGACTCCAGAGGGGGAGCATACAATACAGGACGGTGGGACAGACCCAGTGACCGCTTCAGGGATGGATACGTGATCCAAATCAGTCCAATGGGCACCAGCCCCCCAGGACTTTTGCTGGAATCATTAAGGCTCCACGGGGGCTGCTGAGCTGGCAGGCGGTGGGCCTGGAGCTGGCGGAGGGGTGTCTTTGCCAATGGTGGGGAGAGCCTACTGAGGAAAGCTGCGCAGAGATGGATGGAAACTCCTGGTAACACCCATGGTAACAGACCCCACCAATCTGAAGCCATTAACCTTGTCAGTTAAATGAGACAAACTCTCCGTCTCTAATGAAACTACTTCGAATTGCAGTTGAAAGAGTCCTTCCTGATCCACTTAGTCCTCAAGGTCTTGTCAGTGGCAGGAAGGCGAGTTGACCTTGGCTTTGATTGGCACCCAGGCCAGTCCTGGAGCCCTCCCTGAGCACTGTGGTGACCCCACTGTACAACGCACCCACCTCCCAAGTTCTCCTCAGGCGCCCAGCAAGCTTGTGCTTGTCCCCTCAGCGCCCCTGGAACTCTTCCCCCACCCCCACCAATTGAGGAGCCCCACCTCCACTCTCAGGTTGGCTTTGGACTCCGTGTGGCTGCTGCTCCCTTTGTGCCGTGTGGCGCCCCTAAGCCCAGGCCTCAGATCCCTCCCGTGGCCTGGCCGCATGGGGGGTCCGCAGGGTTGTGTGCATCTCGTGTGTGTTCCCAGGCCACGCGGCACCGAAGAGGCAGCACCAGAATCATCAGTTCCCGCCTGTTCTCTGTACCCTGGTGAAACAGTTTGCTTGCCCTCCACTGCCTCCTCCTGCTGACTTCAAATGAGCTCCAGCCTCTGTGAGCTGGAAAAAGCCTCTCTCTTGCTGGCTGTCTTTCCAGCTGCCCACTCAGACCCCTGCCAGGGGCTCTGCCCCCTCAGCTGGGGAGACTGAACTCTCCAAGGGTGCTAATGGCCCCCCTGCCAGACACCAGGATGTTTCCCAGTCACCATCCCCCAGCCTCACAGCCTGCATCCAGCTTCGGAACACGGCGATCCCTGCAGTTCTGTACGGGGACAGCCTGAGGTGCAGTGAGGAGCCGGCCCTTTGATCCTGGGCGCTGCAGACCTGGGCCGCTCTGGCCACTTTCCCTCTCTGAGCCTCTGGTCCCTTATCTGAAACACGCCATTAATGAGATTGCTCTTAAGTGCATGGTGAGGACTAGATGAAATGAAGTGATGGCTCTGTGGGTGCTGGCAGAGGCGACCATTCAGAACAGGTACTTCCTTCCATCTAGGCGAGCCCTCTTTCTGAGGCTCAGTCCCCAGATGTCTGCTCTTCACGTTCCCCTTACATTCTCCCACCTTCCCTCGGCAGACATCTTCTCCGAGCCCTCCCTCCACCCCTCTTGGCACTTAGCTGAGTGAGTGGCTGCGAGTGGTCCTCCTGGCCACCACAGCCCAGCCTGCTAAGAGTGCTGTCTGCACTCTCTTGTCTGCACTCTCCTTCCACATCCTCCCCCGCCTCCTTGTTCCTGTAACCCAGGCGGCTGCCCAGCTCTCAGCTAAACTGATCTGGCTGAGTTACTTTGTTGCGAAATGCCTCTGGACGCCTGGCCTTATCTGTCTGCTTGACACTGTTGGCAGTTTCTGGAAACACTCTTGCCCAGCCCCAGCCCCCCCACCAGAGCCACCAGGCCTACAGGCCCGCAGCTCTCGTCTTTGGCGGCTCCCGCTTCCTCTGCCCAGAGCTGTGATGCTGGTGCTTCCTGGGTTCTGTCTCTTATCTGTGCTGGGGCCTGGCTGACCTCACACTGCATTTGGCCCACATTTATTATTTTGTAAAATAGGATTTTAAGAAATCAGTTACCAACATTAAAAAAAACAGATTTCACATCAAGGTCTGAATCTCTGGATGCTGCTAATAAGCTGGCAGGTCTGGCCACAGCTCGGCGTTCCCACGTGGCAGCCCCGGGTTGAGGCGCCTCCACCCGGTTGAGGATGAGGGTGGTGCCTGGGAGAAGCCTCTCCCCAGAGGACTCCCAGCAGCACTCACCATCCACCCCTGTGATCTTACTCGCTTGTATCCATGGAAACCAAGTGTGGACTGAGGGCTTCGTGGTTCAAGAGAAATGGCAGACCGCGTCGCTGTGGAAGTGGGAGGTACTGTTTAATATGCTACGGATGTCTATATTGGAAGAAAGCCATGTCCCTCCTGCTTGTCTCTTGGTAGACCTGCCTGGGTCCAGCTCCCAGCCACCCATAGGCGTCAATTAGAAGCATCTGTGAGGACTGCCCCAGACCTGTTCCAAAGTCATTCCAGAATTCAAGTTGCTCCCTGAATGTCTCCTAAATGTTTCACAGGCACCTCATTCAGTCTCTCAACAAACATTTTTTGGCCTCCACAATGCGCCAGGAACCAACAAGACATGAAAACAACACAGGAAGCCCTGTAATTATTGCCCAGGGTCCTCAATGGTTCTCTACTCTTAAAGGGGAGGGGCCCAACAACTTCAGATGCTCACGCCCAGGAGCCTGAGGGACAGGTGGTCATGGACACGCTGCACTGTCCAGGCCTAGTTTGGGCCCGCTCTCCAGTCCCTTCTCAGTCCAGGCTTAGGACCGGAGCGATGACAGTCCCCCTAGGCTGGAGGAGGGCACCAGTTAGAAGCAAGAGCCCCACACAGGTAAGGCCCACACCAGAGTCTCCAGGTGTCAGGGTACCAGGCGAAGTGAGCCTCCCATTTCAACTCTTCTCTGACCTCCACACCAGGCTGGATCAGGATCCCGCCCTCTCCTGTCCCCCCCACTTCCCGCCCCCCATGGGTACCTTGGCCTCGCACATGGAATCCCCCTTCCTCTCCTCCGGCTGACCAAGAGTCCTCCTTGCCCCCATCACAAGGACTACTAGGATGGTTAGCCCTAAGAAAACCAGTTAACCTCTACCCTGATACGTGCCTCCAATCCCACCATTCCTCATGCACAGGGAGGAAGCACACACAGCACACAACTGGATACAGGTTTATTGTGGCACTGGATGTGAACAGGGGCCGGTGTGGCCAGCACCGTGTGCAATGGTGGTGGAGGGAGTGAGGGAGATAAAGGGGGTGAGGCAGGGCCTAGGGAACCCCAGGCTCGGGCCAGGGGTCGGGGTTGGGGGTGACCTTTGCCAACC